AGAGGCTAAGCAGTTAACCCTGTTGCGACCAATCGTCCCGAACTGTAGACAAGATAAAAACGGGTGTATTTGTGTGGCATGGCAAGAGTTCCTTTGCGAACACTTCGCGATCCGGTCGTTCAGCTCTGTCCACATGGTGAAGCTCTGACTGCCTATCAACGGCAAAACGGAGAGCCGCGACCCAGTTGGCCCACCGCCCTCTAACACCACAAGTTAAAGCTGAAGCAGCAGGGCAGAACGAAGTACCACCGCCATTCCGGCCACTGTTGTCAGAACTACCAATATCAAATTGAAGTGGAAGCCCGGCTTCAAACACGCGCGTGTCGAGGGGCCGGCCTAGCCATTTGGAGCCATTGGATCGCTGCGCCAAGCCCATGATATGCCATCGTTTGGTGTCAGGTCTGTCCAGCTTGTTTTCCTGTTGTCGTTTGTTTCCTTCTCCAAGATACATTTGTCTCGTCCGTAAGATGTTTGTTTAGACTGCAAGGATCCATGATCTCGAATAATTAATTTTCCCCAAGCAAGGTGATTCAGGATCCTTAAAGGTCACAGTTGGGACAGTGAAAGAATAACCTTTACCACCTGATTCAGAGGATCCTGTTGTAAAGCCAGGTGGAGTTCCTATGCATCCTTCAAGAAACTTTGCTTGTGGCCCGCCTCGGCCTGTGCCTCAGACGGGGACCGCATCGCCGTGTGCTGCCACAACAAGTCCGGGCTGCGGGACCGCGCGCCGCTGCTGGCGTGGGCCGCTTGCTTTGCACGCGCTCAAAGCGCGCGCTTTGCAGGGAGGTGGAAGTCGCGCTGCGACGGCACCAACAGCCCCCGATTGAAGGTGTAGTTACTCTACTTCCTGAATAATACAGAGGCTCTAAGGCACCGCAGCTTGGCACCTAGCAGGTGTTCTGCCTCTCCTTGTTTCGTGAGGGTGTTTCCCAGCAAGCTGCGCCGAGCGCAAGTAGTCTGAATCCGAGAGGGAGGTGACCAAATGGGCATTTGGGTTCTGAGCATGTAGTGGCGAGATGTCAGCAGTCACACCTCCGGAGCGTTTGGCTGGATGTGACTGAAGAGTGTAACACACATTCTGCAAAATTCATTGCTAAACTTGTAGCTTGAGGCTGGCCAGTTGTTTTGAGTTTCCCGTTATCGCCTTTAGAGTTGCCATACAGTAGCAAGCACTCGCCATTGACATACGCTGCAGCTTGCGAAGACCGCGATCCTTCGAAGGGAAGCACAGAAACACCATGAATGACGGTCCTTGCAAGTGAGATCGTCAGTCCTAGCAGCAGCCCACATTTCAGGCCTAGTCATACCCCCAACCATCCGAAACCGCGGGACTCATCGGATTCCGGAGCAGTGCTCAAAGCTCTTGCCAGTTGAAGATGATTTGGGTGAGATCCAGAGTAAGTTGTAGAACCAGCACTTCATGATTTGGGGCCGATGTTCACTGCAATTCCTAGCTAAATGCCAGCTTGCAAGCTGATTCCTCGCCAATGACTCATTTGGGTTGTTCCCTTGGCCAACAAAAGAGGATCGTGGGAATGTAAACAGGCAATCAACGTTCCCTACACATCAACGTTCTGGGCGAGTTATCTCGACCTTACTTTGCGGTAGGACGACATCACCCATGTGTCAGATGTCTGCAGGAACCGTTCTGTTGGCTCGCATCAGCCAGATTGTGGAGTTTGTGAAGGGAATCATTTCTGGGAAACACCGTTCAGGGGCTGATTCTCAGCTAAATATGACCTGCTCGACGGCTGGGATCCATGCACAAGTTTCAGTCTTGGAAGGCGATTTGGGCCAACAGGGGTACTGCATGTTGGCTTTGCCTCTCTTTCATCCAGCCCACTCGCCGTGCTTGGCTCAGGCCGCGGCTGTTTGGCGGGCTTTTCAGGGTGTTTCTCACGGATTTCTCATGATGCAATGATGCATGCGGCTTGTGCGATTCTTGCAACCCCTGTAGCCCAGCTCTCCACCCGCAGCCTCAGGAAGTTCGCTTCTCGAGGGGCTACCTGGAGCCCACCCCTGCAGAGCCGCGACTCATTCCCTTGCCGCTTGATTGGCACCGAGTGCTAGGCCTCTTGCCTGTGGAAAAGGAGATCCTTGACCCTTCCCTTCTATGAAAAAGAAGAAAGAACCTACGAGCGCAATTGCTTGGTCTACGTGTGGGGTGAGGGCAACCTCGAAATGGGCTGACGCCGTGAGCTTGCGGGCACGCTGCCGTGAGCAGACGAGTTCCGGGCTCTGATGGCTCTGGGCCATCAGGTTCAATGCCCGAGACGACAGTCCCTGGTTTGTTCTCCAGAAGTCACCTTGGGAAACCTTTGAAGCAAAGTACCCTTGTGCAAATTCCTGAGCATGGGGTTGCAAGGTTGCAACCGCAGAAGCTTCTCACCGGGCAAACCATGGCACTTTGCGCGATCGACTCAGTCGGAAGAAAGATTCCGAGCGTCCTGGGACTCAGGCACCGGCCAGTGGCCCCTCTGCCATTGGACGGGGCCATCGCCCTGACTGCTGGCCCGAGCTTCGGCGCACAGCCAGCGCCTCTGGCGGAGCAACGGAAATCTGCGGCGGCCACGGTGCAGTGGCAGACAGCCGCTGGATTGAAGTTCATTTGTCCCCTGTTGTTTGTTTGTTGGGCTGGGTGCCCACTCAAAATCCCAGTTTTTAGTTTCAGTGTGTTGGGTCCCTTTAGTCAGTGGTTCTCCGGATTCTGCTGTACTCTGGATGCCAGAAGCTTGCAGGACTTATGGGTATGGATTGCGCTAGGTCTTTGCTAGCGGTACATGTCCCACATAGTTGATGCAAGATAGAAATATGGTAGAACCATGCTAGGAATATGAAAGACACAGGAGACGTATATAGATTCAGGCTGATAATTGTAGACGCGACAGAGACGACGCCAGAATGATCTACGCAGTCAAAAAACATGTGACAGCGCTCTCAGCAGTTTTATTACGCTAGACATTTTCCCGAACCATGCTAGGCAGATGCTTGGCAACTATTCAAGGCTGATATTGACTCCGTGTTTGTCCACAACTGCCCATATCCTGAAGGATCAGCTGATCTTCCAGCCCCAGTCTGCGGTGTGCTACCTCAACGAGCGCGAAGCCTCTGGCGACTGGGCGCTGCGCCACGGGGACGTGATCACCATCTGCGAGGGGAAGATTGGGCCTAGGACCCACAAGCGGAGCGTTTCTCGGGCGGCGAAGGTTTAGAGGTTTTCCGGTTGCAAGTTGAACGACCTCAGAGTTTCGGCTTGGAACCTGCGAGGTTAAGACATGGGGTCCATGTCGAATTTTAGGTTGGTGATAGTTACGTATTCACCGGGAAGGTGTGTACATGAGCGGGATGTTGAAGAGGGGAAGATGGTGGTCAACACATTCATTAAAACATGGTCATGCCCTATGGAGCGGAATAACGAGCGGGGAGGTCTGGGCAACATTTCTGCGGCAACAGGAAGCATCGAAGACCCACGGCAGATCCTTGCGTTGGGAATTGATGTGCTACCCGCGTCAGGCTGGATCATTGCTTGGACTGTTTCTGGGGGTTATCAAAGTCCGCAACTGGGATTGTTTCCTTGGGGGTTGACTTTGACAATGGTGACATAATGGGGCCAGTCATGTTTCGAACAGCCAGCTCGAAGATTCCCATGAGATTTAAGAGAGAAACGTTTGGCAGCTGATAGAAGTTGTCGCAGGACCCGTTGCTCTGTGCAAACATGCAATTATATCCGTGCATAAAATCGGCACATGTATAAGATCCGCAGCTTCTGCCGCATTTTAATAGATGACATAAAGGGCTGGGTTGTTCAAAACAAATCCTCAATCCTTTTGCGAGATGGCAGTGGTATCCTTTGTTGTAGTGATCCCACCTACACATTACGGATTAAGAGTAGGGATTTTGAACAACGGAAGGAGGGTCCCAGCAACGGCCCTTCGTGTTTGATGAAATTAAACTTGTTTAGGTTCGTGGTGCGGCTGCGTGTTAGGGGCACCGCCTTGGGAAGACATGTCAGGAAGGCCTGACGGCACCTCGACAGCAAACATAACACGTCCTTATATGGCTGTGGTTGTCAAAACCAATGGGATCCCATTTTGGGGTGGGTGCACCACCCATTTTAGTTTTAGAACCTATTTTAGTGAGGATTGGGATGTTCATTGGGGGGTACGGGTTTTTGACCCATGGCCATATGTTCCTTTGTCTGACCTATGGGCCAATCTCGCTTCAAGTTGGCAGGGCGATGTTGAAGGGGACACTAGGCGGAGCAATCGCGGGATCATGCCAAGATCCGGAGGCGCGTTTAGCTGGGACATCGCTGATATCACGATGGCTGTGGCACCTTTCAGTGAAGGACGATTTTAGAGACAAAGAACACGTGAGCGGGACATGTCCTCGATAGCTTGAGTAGTTGGGTTACAACCCTCTTTTTGGACGAGAAGGATGAGAAGGCTAGCCCGGGGAGCACTAAATGTTGGGAAAACAAAGAAGCAGGGACTGCTGGGCAAAGCAGGGGTCCGCGTCAACCCACATCTTACCCCATCCCAGAACCCCTTTGATTCTTTCTGGGGGCCGCAAACCAAGATCTGCCAACTTGCCACCCATGCCAGCAATTCCATGCAACCCAACAGGCGAACCGCCCAGCTAGATATTTGCGGATGATCCAAGTGCTGAGAGAAGAGTCCAGGAGCGGCTTTTGGGTGGTGGACCTCGGAGAGGCCGGGCGAGTGGTGGACCTGATTTTTGCTTGAGCTCGGGCTGGCCTGAAGAATTTGTGTGGGAGCTCGTGCCAAGAGGGCTGAAGCAATGGAACAACCTGCGAAACGGAACGTCTGACGCTGAGAAACTGAACCTCTCTGTTTGGGGCGGCTGGCCTCGTGAGAGGCCCCCGCCGAGCTTCGGCCTTTGGCTACGCCGGCCCGGGCACGAGCGCATGCGGGCCCAGACTCGCTGACCATGACGGCGGGGTGGAGGGCGGGGGCAAGGGGGGGGGGGAGGGTTGCTAACGAATCTGCGCAAGTGGAGTAGAAAGTCTGGCTGCTGAAAGTAAGTTGGGGGCTGGCCATTTTAATATCAGCGAACCAGGATAAGTAACAAATCGTTAAAGGAGCAAAGGAGAGGTTTCCAAGCACCAAAAGTGACATGAATAATTCCCGACAGATGATATTTGAGCCCCCTGAGAGGAACATGAAACCCCACAAAAGCTTCCAAAAAGCAACGTGTTGTGTGTGTGTGTGTGTGAGTGTTTTTCTCTTCGCCGTGGTGTGCCTTTTAGTTTTCGGGAATTTTATGTTGATGTTCAAGAAAGGCCGTTGTGGACAGCCCATGCATATTTCTGGCAATGTGTCTTTTGGAGCGGAGAGAAGAAGCACATTTGTTGCTGCCTTGATTGTCGCATTGATTCATTGCTTTTTGTGATTAGCCATGGTTTATATCATCATCAGGGACGTCGCGTTAGTGACCGACCTGTGGTGTTTTGGCTCAAGATTTTGGGTTCCGTCGCGCCTCGAATGGGCGTCGCCGAACCCCTGCGTCGACCGACGGCATCTCGGGGGAGAAAGAGACCTCGGGCCGCCGCCAGGTTGGTAGGGACCAGTCGTGCGGCCTGTTGTCGACCAAGGTTGCGGGTTAACCCTTTTCTTGTTTGGTTTGTTTTCCTTTGGTTGTTGTTCTCTGGTGTGTGGGAAACCCTGATCTTTGGGACCGGGGATTGGTTTGCTTTTGGGGAACCTTTCTTTTGTGGCTTGTTTACCCCAACTTACCCATTGCCTGGGCACAGGCTCGTGCCCGAATCACAGGTTATCAGCCGTAGGACTTTCCTACGCGCTTGAGACCATCAACTACAAGCTCTATGTCGACCCCACGATCTCGAAGGAGTGTCGTGGATGAGGAGGCCATCCTAGGGGGCCTCCGCTCAGGTGAGGACCTACCGGACTACGACTACGAGGATTTCGAAGCAGGTTCGACAGGTCAGGATCGCAGGGGTGAAGATCCCGGTAGGGACACACCCAGGAGCCGTGGCAGGTACACCGATGATGGAGACGACCGCATTTTCCGTCAGGCCACCGGTGATGAGCAGACACGAAGGGCTCGCTCCGATAGGAGCGGCTCTGAGTCGGGTCACAGGCGTGGACAGTTCGACTTCATCAGCATGGCGATGAACATGGCCCGCCCTCATTCGGACGACCCGGAGGCCATGCCGACCCGACCCCCGAGATCTCTTGTTCCAGGTGAATCGCAGGTCTCGGATGAGTTTGAGGACAGGCCGCAGGGACCAGGGACTATGGTCTTGGCTCCGAGAGATATCTCGGGTCGATCCACTGGTTCTCAAAACCCAGGTCAGTTTGATGAGCACGAGGAGCGGAAATTCTCAGACTTCGGATACGATGCTCTGTTGAAATCAACCGCAGGTTGGGGCAGTAGCTCAAAACAGGGATCTGATGCCGGTAGGCCCAACCCTAATACTGCCAAATCTGAGTCTTATGATGGCGAAGATTACAATTTTGCGGATGAGGAGGAGGACCAATCACGCCGAAATGCTAGGATCCGTGATGCTGCGAGGCCCAGGAGCCTCTCTCGTGGAGCCGTCAGGGACCTTCGTGTTGACAGGGACGTTCGAAGCGAGAGAGAGAGAGCCAGGGATAGTCGGGAAGTTCTTCGGGGATTGGAGGCCATCCATGATCGTGAAGGACCGATAGGTTCCCCGGCGATTGGTGATACCCCGAATGTTCCCCCTTTTCCCAACATTACCTTTGGAGGTCCGTTGAATCAGAGAGACGTGAACTCGAACCGGGTTACTGGTTCGCCGAGGATCACTGAGCGGGCTGCCGATGTCGTTAGGACAGGTGCCAGAGATGGTCGGCTTGCCGATGCACTCGGAATCGAAGATCGTCCGTCGATCGCTAGCCCGTTAGGGCGAGATACCAGTGACCTTGAAACGCTGAGGTCTAGCAACGAGTTCACACCTCAATGGGGCTCGACCGCCAGGGAACGTAGTGTTTCTGCGAAGAGGCCGTCACCTCTCGCCATTGAGACCGATAGGTCAAAGGCGAGGAGGGCTAGCCCCTCACCAATGGGCTTGGCTCTGCAGGATGAGGAGATGCCCGATCCTGCTGATGTTCACATTCACTCCACCCCCGAGTCACGTGCATCCAACATTGATCCCCGATCTGGCGATAGCCGGAGAAGGGGATCCACCCCGAGTAGGCCATCCAGGATTGAAGATCGTCCCGTAGATGACCCAAGAAGACATGCCGGGGCTGGTGGGGCTCCTGAGAGGATCGAGATATCGACTCCTCCCGCCCTCAGATCCCAGTCTTCTGGCGAATCAGGTGACACGAGGGCAAAGGAGATGTTTGATTTGCACATCCAGGAGATGCTCGAGAGGGGTGAGGTTTCTGGCTCAGTCGCGAAGGCGTTCCATATTTTTGCTGACCAAATCAGGTTACTGAACGGTCAAGTGAGTTCCATGCGAAGGGAATGGAGCGACGAAAATCAACAGACGAAGGACAAGGTCAATCGCCTGGCAGCCGAGGTTGCGACTCAATCTGATGCCGGGAGGATGCGAATGATAGTTCAGCGGTTTGCAAGGGAAGTTATTCCCGACAGCAAGGCCATTGTGAGGCAAGCCATCGATGAACAGGCTGAGGTCGTGGAGCAGAGGATCAACCTACTTTCCCACGAGGTTCACGAATCTGTTAAGGACAATGAGGCCGCGACTGATCGGCTTCGCCAGATGATTCAAGAGAATCGTGAGGCAGTCCACAGGAGCCATGCTGCTTCCGAGGATGAGATCCTTAAGGACTTGGAAAAGCTCGAGAAACGGATGTTCTCGGTAGAGAAAACCGTCGGGATTCGGACGCCAGCAGGTGAATGGAATTTGAATCCTGTTGCGCAACTGTCCGATAGGGCCAGTAGCAGTGTGGTGAACGCGAATTTCAGGGAGTTAAACCTGAAGATCGAGAAGGCTCTCCTACTGGCGTTCAGTGGATCCAGATGTCTCCACATTGAGGGACTCTGAAAATGGACTAGTGTGCCTTTGAGTTCCCTTCAACATAGTCCAACAAGGGGTGTCAAGAATAAGACACCCAAGTTGATGAACAGGTTGCAAGAAACATCAAGAAGTGAGAAGCAAGGATTCCCTGAGCACGGCGATTGCATTTGGTGCAAGCCCGAGGCCTAGATTGAACCATTCCTTGAGCTCTAAGATGGTTCTCACTACGCCCAAACCCCAAGGTTTAATGGGATGTGCAATCCCCCTGAGGGTGGCGGTTTCGGAGGGTACCCCTCTGAACGAAACAATGACAAATTCCTCCACGTTGGGTACAATTCGACGGGTTTTGCCTCCTTGCTGGAAGATCCACACGCACACTTGATTTGACTTTAGGTCGCTTGAACATGGCCATGGTAGCATGCTCACTAGGATCCTCGTTCATCGACGCTAAGCACCTGCAACCACATGGGGATGGATCTGTTTTTGGTTTTCAAAAGACCCGCCTTGTTGGGTCCATGCGAATCCCCTGCTACGCTATGAAAGATATCCGGAAAACACAAGGCTCATGGTGTTCCTCTCCATTAGGTTACCAAGGTCGAAGGATTGCTTCACAGGAACATCTTATAAATAACTTATAATTATGATGATACACTTGTACATACACATACAGATGTACATATACGCTTACGCACCACACATACCTGTTTGTGCGTGTGTCTTCCCCGGACTTTAGGTGCCCGAGACCCTCATGGCAGCTTCGGTGCTCAACCGGACCCTCGAGGAGGTGGCAACGCCCGTATCCGAGGCAGCGGCGGAAGGAATGTCTGCATCTGATCTTCCATTTGCTTAAGAATGTATTGTTTATTTTCCCTTGTTGGCTTTAAAAGGAATTTATCACTACTGGAAATATATTTTTTCCAGGGGTCTTAACCAAATGGAAGTTATCTTTAGCCCGGAAGAATGCTGCGAAAGGTCCGAGGTTTGCTGGTGCTCAGTGAAGAATGAGGGGATGACCCCGAAAACACCATCCAACTGGTGGCTTGCTTTAAGGGAATCCCCAGGTTCATTCCCACATTCCCTGCCTATCGCACCAGTAAGTTTAGGGCTGGACCTTGACCAAGATGTGAGATGCATAATTGCCGGCTCCGGAACTCAAACAGGCTTGGGGACGCTTGAAGTTACCAATCGGTCTTATGTAGGCCGACTGTGAGTGGAATGAGAGCCAGAATCCGGGAATGGACACAGAAACGAGTTTGCAAAGCCAGAGTCTGGGGCCATACGGTGAAAGGTTTAGGTCTCTTTTCGGAGTTCCGACAAATTGAAGGGATCCAGCCGTTGAGGAGCGAAGCCCTGAAAATGGGGAGGTTACCCCCGAGGGGCAAGTGACCGCAAGGACCCTTCGCAGACTTTGGAGCCGCCGGGGATTTGGTTGCAAGAAGACGCCTCACCCTGGAGCACGGCCTCGGCTCGCCAGGATGGGACAAATTGCCAATGTAGGTCAATGGTGTCCTCCTGCTTGCTGTTGTTTTTCTGTTTGCTTGTTTGTGTTGGCTGGTTGGTTGTTTGTTTGTCGGTTCTGTTGGTTGGTTGGTCTGTCGGTTGTTTGTTTGCCTGTTGCTTGCTTGTTTGTTTTGTATGTTTGCTTGTTTGCTTGTTTGCCTCGTTGTTCAGTTGCTTGGTTGCTTTGCCGCTTGCTTGTTTTTTTGGTTGGGTGGTTGGTGCTAGTTTGCTGGCTTGATGCTTTGCCTGTTGGCTTGCTTGTTGGCTTGTCCTTGCTTGCTTGCTTGCTTGTTTGCTTGCTTGCTTGCTTGCTTGCTTGCTTGCTTGCTTGCTTGCTTGCTTGCGTGCGTGCTGGTTCGGACCCTTTGCATCCTGTCTCGTAAACATTCAGGGTTCCAATCAATTATGTGTGCATGCTCACAAGAAATCACTTCTGGGATTGTTTCAAAGAAAGGCAAAGAAAGCAAACAATTGTGTGAATCGCTCATATGCGTTGGTGGCACATGCCCCTCGCAAAAGATGGTAGCGTCTCTGCATGTGTTTTGCAATATTATCCTGATGAGCCTCTGATCAAGTTGCCATCCCTTTTTTGGGCATTTCCGCAGCAGCTTTCTCGGAATGATCTTGAGCCCAATCTTCCAGAGGACACTAGCGTGCCACGGTTGCTTAACAGATTGACATCATACCCTAGGGAGTAGGATTTGGAGTTCGTCGGGAATGAGCATAGATGGCGTCTGGGGATCCGCATGGTTGAACTGACTTCAGTTCAATTTGAGCCAGGAGTGCCACGCGGCTCAATCGCCGGAAGCCTCCGGCCTGGAGGAGAGCCCAACGAGAAGCTAAGTCCACTTCGCATGGGCGATCCTTGGAGTTTTCGTGATAGCCCGAAGCAAACGGTGGCTGATTGAGAGAATGCTGGTGATTAAGGAACTTGTCTCTGGTTTTGGGCTACTAGTCTTTAGCACCCCAACCCTGGCAGACACTCCTGCCAACATTGAACAGGGAACCACGTGGATCCAGCTGTAAGCTGGCGTTAGGATTGCTGGGCAGAGCCATGTGAGCTACCTCCCGTCACCTGGGGGGTGAAACGACCTCATTTCCTGATGAATGATGACAGCTTCTTTGCCAACTTCAGGGTTCTCCCGCCGCAAGCTACCTGACACTTCAGTGAGAGCCTGCTTTTACCTCAAGCAAAGTGCGTTCCTGGGGTCCTGCAGCTGTTGAGGTCGCGCTGCGCAGCTTGGAGGTTCTGATCGTTTGGCGATTTGGGGCGCCTTGGGTCCCAGACCGGCCTCCCATGTCTTTTGACCTCCGTTATACCTTTTGGTTTGGGTGCCCAACAACAACGATTGGGGGTCGAACAAAAACAGGGTGACCCCCCAAATCGGGACCCCCCCATTCAGGAGTCACTGGGGGACCGCCCGGACCTGATGGTCGAGGCAGGGACCCACTCCGATTGGCAAGTCGAACGGGACAGTCGAGCTTTCACCAAAGCTAAAGGGTGCTGCTCCAGGCTTTCATCATACTTCCTTTCTGCCAAGTTGTCCAAATAGATCCATCAAGTGCAGATAGGTGGTTCAGGATGGTGTCTAGCTCGCTTGTTTCAGTCAACCGGCTCAAGCCAAGTTGTTTGGAGCAACCGAAGGTGACTTTGGCGCAGACAGATGTTCCATTCAATATTGCCACTGTGTGCTTTTTCTACTGTCCGGGCAGAAGAAATGCCGAATCTTCCACGTTTGGCCCCAAACAGCAAGCAACATATCGAGCCCCAATCAACTGGAGAGTGTACTTTTTGACGCCTTTGGAAGCCACAAAGGATCTGAGAACTGGGCTTTGACACAAACACCTTGAGTTGTCTTTGAGATTTTCGCGCTTGAAAGCTGTGAATCTGGACGCCAACTCCCTAAAATGGTTTGCAAGGTTGTTGTGGTTGGGAAGCTTGAAAATAGTCTGACAGGGTGAATTTGATTGGATTGTTCTCATACAAATATGGATTGAGCATGTTCAGGCATTGTGCCACTCGGATAAATACAAGGTTGACTTCTCTCTTCATCCATTTTGACCAGTACCAGTATGTTGCAGTAGTGCTAGAGACGAACTTGTGGGTACATGCCAACGCTCCTCGCATGTTTGGATCAAAGATGCTGCAACTAGTGTCACGCGCGTCCAAACTGATGGACATGCCTCTCTTCAGACAAGCCCCCCACCCGTGAGAAGATGTAGGGTTGGGCCACTCGAAGAGGCCCCCTCGTGGCAGGCAACTCCGAGGCCTGACATTGAGGAGGCCAGGGCTGCCCAGACATGAGGTGGATGCGAGTGGCCCTTGGCCAAATCTTTTGTACGTGGTTTCTGGGTCAATTACAATGTTTCACCAGCCTGAAATAAAGTTGTTTGGGGCTATTCCCCACATAAACCACCATTTGGGGTGAGGTCGTGTGAGGTCGTTATAATTCACCCAGATGTTTTCCTTCGCAGGGCAGTGATCATTCATTTGTTCTTCTTTCCGAATCAAAGGGCCATGAAATGAGAGGGCAAGCTGCAGGTACAAAGCAAAGTAGTGTGTCCAGCCAAGCCGTTCAAAGCGCATGTGTTGAGCAGTTGCTGGGGAGTGGGCCAATGCCATCGTTTGCCGAATCCTATCGCTCAATATGGGAGAGAAAGGAGATCGAGTTTGAGAAAGGATCCTGCTGGTGCATGGCTTTTGTACATGCAACATACACAGGAAAGTGATTCCCTTGGTAGGGGAGTTCCTGCCATGGCATTAAAGAATCTTCTGTGGGAGATTTGCCTGGTGCTACTGTACGAGGTGGCTGGTTGGGATTTAAGTAGGATCCTCCAACCTCCAAGTATGAGACTTCAAAACAAGACGCTGGGTGTATTGATTGAATTCCCCCGCAAGCACGAACAGATATCCTTGTTTGGAGCACCGTGTCAAGGGTGGTGTTTGGAAGAGTAAGACATCATTATCGATTTAGGGAAACTGGAAACTGAACTACCCTGAAATAGGCGGCGTTATAGGCAGCTGGTTCTGTTATTGATCCAAAGCACACGGACGTGACTACGTTGTTTACCATCCCATTCTAATGTTCTGTATTGTTTATTGTATATCATGAAAGCCAAGGGAAAGCCTGTAGCAACTGACGAGACAAGCAGACAAGGTGACTCTACAGTCACATCTGATGATCTTGCCAATGTGTTGGGATGCTGTTGGCTTTGCCTCGCAAAGCCGGTGGCAGTCGGGCGAGCAAGAGCAACAACATCTTTCTTTGCCTTGATCAATTATTTAAGAGCTGCCGCCTCTCCCCTGTGCAATTTTCTCAAGCCGGCCTTGATACCACTATTGGACTCCGTGCGAAATCGTTATGGACAACAAACACACGGTCTAGCTCGTTGCTCCAAATTCCAGTCCAAGATTAACCTGCGCCTATCGTGCTGAAATACCAGCCAATCTTTGCCCGGTCTTGAACTGTTTATCCGCAGTTCCCGAGGCCTTTAGAAGCAGGTTGCGACCAGATTGCCCTAGAAAGGAGCAGCACGGCATCTATCAAGACACAATTTGAATGCTCCAAGGGCGGTGCGAAGCAGTGCAGGCGCCAATGTCTAACGACGCCTCCCCTTTTGGGAAGAAGGGGTCGCGGATCTGTTGATTTCCATTAGGATAGTCATCGAATTTTCAATTTTGACCAACCGGAAACGTCCAGGGACCATTTGGGAAATTTTGACCCATGGCTCCGGGAGCGGTTTTCGGGGTGCTGTTTGGAGAAATCCGCGGCCTGAAAACGGGGCATCTGGTTTTCTTGCAATGAACCTGTTCCTGAGTTTCTCATGAAACACCGCAGCTGGTTTTCCGTAGGTATGCCTGGGGCGTCAGGTCAAAGGAACTCTGTTTTGGAGGGTTTTTTTCCGTACATATCCCTGGGGCGTCAGGTCAAAGGAACTCTGTTTTGGAGGGTTTTTTTCCGTACATATCCCTGGGGCGTCAGGTCAAAGGAACTCTGTTTTGGAGGGGTCTGCTTTGGGGACCCAAGAGTTGAGACCAACGCCTGCGCCTCCAGACGCAGAGTGCAACCTCCAGTCGCTGGCGGTCTGCCGCAAAGCGCCAGAGGCTGGAGGCGGGGATTTCTTTTCGTCGGGGACGGCTCTTTCATGTGGAGTGCTGAATTTTGGACCGGTGAAAAGTTGGGACTCTGAGCCTCTGAGCCCTTGAACGTCTGGGCGGCCTAGAGTCCTCCCCTTGGTTCAGGTTTGGGCCTTCAACCGGACACAGGTCAGACATCCACAGAAACCCGCCGTCCGCATCGCGACAAAGGCCCCTGCCAGTGCTTTGGAGTGTTGGTCAAAGTCACGGCGGAATTGTAACTGAGGGCTTGAGCCATTTCAAACAAACAAAGTTATTGAAAGGCAGCCCCACTCACACAACCATTCCATGTTACGCACATAAATCTATAGCCAACAATCTGTAAACATCAGATTTATGTTCCATGTTGGCTATATATTGTTTCTATCATGTTGCGGCGGCGCCTCATGTCTCAAAAGCCAACCATTCCATGTTACGCACATAAACCTATAGCCAACAATCTGTAAATAGTTGATTTATGTTTCATGTCTCATTTGACAATGTTCATTGTGGGGTGAAGTTCTTGTTTCAGGTTGCCAGCCAGCTTGCAGATGGCACGGACATTGGAAGCCTCACGGCCATGCAAAGCACGATGCGGACACGACCGAGGTGTCCAGCAAGCACAAGCATGCAGTTCCCAACGCCAATAGCAGCAGACTGTGACTTTTGAGCGCCCTGGACACCTCTTTGGCTCACTCACTGACCCATGGTGGCCCTTTTCCCCGAGATACTGGCGGTGCTCCTTTCGGCAGCTCGAACTGTGTTTGGGTTGCCGAGGGCCGGCATCTCCATTTCCGGGCCTCCGCTCGGCCGCTTTTTGGGCTCGTGTTTGGTGGGCGTTCTCGCTTTGCCGCCGTGCCCATGCTGCTAATGCAATCCCCAGTGTCCCGACAAGAAACCCTGTCAAGACAATCCATTTCGGGGGATCCGGGACTTTTGTGATGCAAACAGCAGTGCGCAAGCAACACTGCAGGCACTTCAAGGAGATGGCGTTTGCATGCTGACTTTCTCAGGATGTTTGAGCATGGCGGTTGGTTACTGCTGAGCATTGCGCCCATTGCTGAACGCCTTCCTCGACTTGAGGCACTTAACCACCAGGATAAAATCTGACCTGAGTTCAGAACCCTTCCGAACCCTGAGCGACGTTCTAAAACCCTGCACTTGAAAGTAGTATTCGGGAGGAAATATCGTTTTCGAAATGTTGACTTTTCCTGGGTTGCGGAAGCGCTGCGCAAGGTTCGCGGAAGGGGTTTCTCAATTGTAGTTTTCCTTCACGCGCGGAATCGAAAACGAACTTCAATCCCGTTTCTCAATCCGCGGAAGCGACGCGGAAGCGATTTCCTCTTCAAGCCTCTTGCGGAAGGAACCTTTTGCAAGCTCCGTGGAAGACTTCGCGGAAGGGATTTGATATTTCTCTTCGGCCGCAACTATAGGTTTAGAACACTGCTCCTGTGAAGGTTAGCTCCGAACCTGTCCTGGGGGGTTGAAGTTTGAAGTTGCCTTGAGTTTTTCTCCTAGCCGGGGGCCGGGGGGGGAACAGCAGGCACCATCGATGCCCCTCGAGTTCAGCCCCGAGATCAGCTTTGAGGCCGTAGAGATCTGATGATTTCGGGTGGAGGACGTGTTGGTGCTCAAACGAGGACATGTTGCAATCGGATACTTCCCTTTCCCACCAGACCAAACAGCAGCACCCTATTTTGATGGGCGGGGATACATGTGCAGCTAGGTTATAAGAACCCTTGCCCATTGCCCAACCCAGAAAGGCTCCTGTTTCCCACGCAGCCAAGCATGTTTCGTCACGTGCCGTTTGTGTTTTTGTGTGACTCGCTTACCTGCCATGCCTGGGGATCCTGCCGAGTTTTGCTGACTCCGGTGAACCAAGCTGCTGTTATTTGATCTGCTTTGTTTCTTCTTCTTCTTTTTTTCCGGGGGGACCCGCTGATTGTTCCATCGCTCATATGTTTGAAGCAGATGGAACCAGATTCACCAGAAAGGTGATTGCCCATCTCGTTGTGCAGCGAAGTGTTGAGCTCGAAACCGAATGTTAAATCGCCCCCAGCACCCGAAAGAAGCCACTCAGACCTGATTTTGCCACCCAGGCCCCAGGGTTGTTTTACGGATGCGGATTTTGTTGCCAGTCCGAACGGAAACTTTGACCCCAGGTTCAAAACCCTTGTGACAGGTCCCAGGCAATGATGAAATTGCAGTGTGCATGAGGAGAATGGGGGAATCGATCCTGCGGTGCTTATGATTCGTATTCCAATCTTGGTTCCAAGGTACTTGAACACATCTTCAAATATAGGGCTTGCAGAGAAAAGGCGCAGGCACTCAGTTTGGCGCACCTTGAGAGATTCGGTGCTTTTTCCCTTGGGGAAGTCCCCGTCTTTTCCCCCTATGCCTCCAGGATCTTAGACCTATTCAGAATACCCTGCGACTTGGGCTTTGTAGAGATTTTTGCCCCTTGGGTCTTCATTCGAACAACGCATCTAGTTGTCCGAACCAGGGCTTCTTTCAAAGACCCTTCCACAGAATATTCACATATCATCTCACACAAAGCATGTCTTTTCAATAACTCTTCTCTACAGAAAAATCATTCATCCTCTCACCCAAAACATGTCTTTTTACATGCCTTCTTTCACAAAGGTTCACATATCCTCTCACCAAACTCTCACCCAAAACATGTCTTTTTGCATGCCTTCTTTCACAAGGTATCACATATCCTCTCACCAAACCCATGCCCTTTTTCAATTTTTCAATGGCTCTTCCACACAAAATTCAACTCACATATCTTCCCACACAAACCATGCCTTCTTTCAAAGGCTCTTCCACAGATAATTCACATATCTTCCCACACAGACCATGCCTTGTTTCAAAGACTCTTCCACAGAAAATTCACACATCATCTCTCCCAACACATGTCTTTTTACATGTCTTCTTTCAATGAAACAAAGGCAGCATATGTGAAAGAGTTGCCAAGGAAAGTGAACCCTGTGTAGAATAAAACCAGGCTATGGCTGGGACAGTTTGTGTTACATAAATGCAAATCATCTCACACAAAACATGTCTTTTTCAATAACTCTTCTCTACAGAAAATTCACATATCCTCTCACCCAGAACTTGCCTTCTTTCACAAAGGTTCACATATCCTCTCATGCTCCGCAAATGTTGCGCAACATTTGGAATTTGTTGCGCAACATTTTCCTGGACCAAAAACAAAAAAACCAAAGAATCCCAGCCATGGTGGGGGGTAGGATTGGTTTTTTGGTTTTTTGGTTTTTTGGTTTTTGGGTGTTTTTTTGGTCCACAAAATGGCCTTGCCGAAAATGCATGAGTTCAATCAAAATACACTGTAAATATCAATGGTTTTGATACATGATGCAACAACACCTGGGTACTGGGGGGGGGGGTACCATATATATCTATATATATATATATATATATGGGTATGGGTCTAAATTAAACCACAGGTTTTAGTCATCCTTTCCATTTACCAGGGTTCAATTTGTGGTACCTATTTTGACCCACAGCCATGTATATATATATATATATATGTATACCTGGGCCCTCCTAAGTATGCCTTTTTTGTGCTGTTTGGGCCAAAGGCTCCTTTTGGTGCAAACGACGCATTTTTTTGCCTCAGCGCATTTTTGCATATTTTGCTGTTTTGCGAAACCAGGATGAAGACGAAAAGGCGACATTGCCCGACCCAAAGGCGACATTCCCCGACCAAAAAGCGACATTTGCCGACCACGTTTTGGCAAGATTTTGAAGCAGCACTTTTAAAAGGAAAAGGCTCTTTTTGGAGCAAACGACACAATATATAGCTTTTTCAGCAAACAGCAGAAAAAATGCACACCTGGAGGGTCTAGGTATGTGTGTGTCTGTCCGTATGGACAAAGATGTCGACCGAGCCTGCCAGGATTCCGTTTGACTGAGGCCTTGTCTGAGTCAAGTTCGACGGAATGGCCAGCGGGCATTTCGGCCTGGAGGGGCCGATTTAGGGCAAAGAACCTACCATCTGAATTGAACAAATGAGAGGGGCAAGACTAGCTCGGGCCCCATGAAGGTCTGATTTTTTTCGAAAGCCCAGCTTTGGAAGGGCCAGGTTTGCAACGGTTGCAAGAAAGAGATCATTCCTGAGCTGGGGTTTGGCCCGGGAAGGAATTTAGGGGGCTGTCTCGCAATGAATGCAGCCCCATTCCATTTGGCGGACCATTCCTTATATGTTGTGATGCCATTGTGCGCAGGAACCCAACCATTTGCTATGCTCACAGTGTGAGACGACTCCGCTCATGTCAGCTTAGCCGCTGTGGGGGAGAGGCGTTGGGGCACGCCCAGCTTGGGACACGCAGCGACACAAAAGGACGCGGAGTAAGGCAAATGCCATACATGTGTGGGATTATGCCTAGTGCCCAGATATTCACGAATGTTGCCCTTATATCCCTACTCATGTTTCCCATTCGCACACTCGTTGATTTTCTGGCACGACCGACCAAAAGCGCGGAAGAACAAAGGAGCGGCAGTGCCGCAAACATGTGGTGGGGGGGTTACACCTACCTCCATACTCAAGACCAGAAACACCGAACAATAAGAAATAAAAACCAGCCACAACCTGAGGAGGCAAGAAAGCCCCAGCGGCAGACCTAACAGCAATAGCAGCCTCACCATTTCACTTCAGACCCTACAAGAACATCATTGCTACACCAGAAGAAACCATGAAATTTTGAAAGAGACAGGTCTTGCCGCTATCCCACTGTAGAACTACTCGCTAAGAAGGAACACAGGAAGGACATCAGGGGTAGCAGACTCTACGGCGCAAGCTTTGAGCCAGTGGGTGTTTGGTAGTGTTCATTTTGTTTCGACGCTAAGCAGAAGTGTCAGTCCATACGGTTGCTGGTGTTGTTGGTTGTTTTCTTTGGAAAAGCTAATTGTGTTTGGTCTTATTTGTTATATATATATGTATATATATATTGTTATATATATATATATGCCCCCCCCGCACAGTGTGGCCGCACAACCCGCCCCCCCTGTGGGATGGGGGGGGGGGACGGGGTCCATGGTTCCCACCCCCCGCCCCCCCTGCAGGAATCAGGGTCGGGGTCTATAGAAGGTAGCACAGTGTGATTGTACAAGACCCCCCGCCCTTCTGTGGGATGGGTGTGGGGGGTCTATGGTTCCCACCCGCCCCCCTGTTAGAAGGTAGCACAGTGTGACCGTACAAGCCCCCCCGCCCTCTCTGTAGGATCCCACCGTACAACCCCGCCCCTGTGAGGGATGCGTGGGGGGTCTATGGTCCCCACCCCCCTTGCGTGGGAATGGGTTGGGTAAAACGCAGGTAGGTAGCACAGTGGGACAGTACACGGGGTGCATGGTTCCCCCCCCGCCCGCCCCTGGATGGACCCCTACCATTCGGGGGGGGGAGGGGGGGGGGGCTGGGGACGACGGGCGACGGGAACATATATATATTATATATATTATGATCAGGGCCTGCAGGCCCCCCCCCCCCCCCCCCCCCTCCCCCTGTGGGCCTGTGGGTGTTGGCAGGTCTTGAGCTTTAATGGTGGGTGCCCCCTTTCTTCCCGTAGGTGCTAGTGGGCTTCACGTGTTGGTTGCTGCCAGGATCGACGACTCGCTCGCTTGCTCGTGCTTCTGAGGTCATAGCTTAGCCACCAACAAGCTGCAACAATACAACCATCAAGCCAATATAACCAAGCACATTTGGCAGCGTGTGGAAACATGTTAACAATTCAAAGTCACTAGGCAGTCGGTCGCTCTCGGTCTGCGTAGTTATGGCTTGCCAGCGCCCTGGCATGGACCCGGGTGGCACGCTTCCTCTTTCAACGTGCTGGTCCTCACGGCTGAGAAGCACGCGGTGGTTTCCCGTCCGCAGGCGAGTCCGGACATGGTGTTCCAGAGTCTCCCAACGTGGCTGCAAATGGAGAATGTCCACATCTTCATCAGGCCAAATTTGGGCAACCTTGTCCTGCTGGATGCGGACAGCTACAGCGGTGACATGGGCACTTTGACCAGCCACGGTGCCTGACGGAAACATCCCCAGGTAACTACCAGGCTTGGCTCACCCTGCCTGGTGACCAAGGACTTGTCGCAAGCCTTGGGCGCAGACATGGCAGCTGCCAAGGCCGGGCAAGTCGGCAGGCTGCCCGCTTCCAGGAACATCAAGACAGGCAAGGGCAACCTGGTGGTCCTCCTGCACTCTTGCTTGCAAGACATGAACGAGCGGGTTTACTTGAAGTTGGTTCCAGACCCCAAGCTGTTCGTGCAGAAAGGAGTTTGCCAAGTTGCTCGAGGCGTGGCCAAGCAGAAGGGTGCTGCGGGGCCTGACTGCAGCGCGCAGGACTGGCGCACAGCGTGTTCCTTCTTTGAAGCCAACCCTTCAGCTACTGTGAACCAGGCCTTGAAAACCTTGCGCGGCTCGTGGCTGGCTCAACGGCCCAACCAGGCCTACTACGAGCAGCTGACTGCGACCAATGCTTGCAAGCATGTGAAGGAAAGGTTGACGGTCCAGCAAGCTAGCTCCAGCGCGCAAGCGTCGGCCTCTGCGGGGCCCGGCGGGAGCGCTTCTTTGCCAGCTGCCAGCTCCACAGACCAAGCTGTGTCAGCTGTGCGGTCCTCGGACAAGCTCGGGCTGTTTCTGCTCAAGATGTGGACCGCATGATCTCCATGGCCCTGCACGCCAACTTTCCTCGAGCTGAACAAGTGTCAAAGAAGTGCGTTGAGTGCCAGGTGGACAAGGCCAGGAACTTGTTTGCCCACAAGCAGTGGCTCAAGAAGACGCCAACGTGCCTGGCTTGCAAGCCAGTGCCCGAGGTGTTACGGGGTCGCGCGCTAGCATCCAGAGTGTGGCAAGGAAGTTGAGCGAGGCAGCTTCTCCGATAGCCAGTGGCTTGCGGGGAGCGGGAGCCGGTGCAAATTGTGCGTGCGTGCTGCCAGTCTCAAGCAGAGCAAGCGGGCCAAGGTGTGCAAGGACTGCAACGTGGAGAAAGCCAAGGATGACTTCTCCACCACTCAGTGGCAGCTGCCGCTCGCAACTGGGAGCTGCTGCGTGGCCTGCTGCCAAAAGCGCCTCGCGACTTCACAAACAGCATTCACGGACTTCCGCAAGAACCAGCTCAACAGCAAGGCCAAGCCACAGCCAATGGCGCAGGCAGCAGACGTTATTTGGCCCGCTGCTGACAAGGCGGGTGCCCGGTGGCTGCTGGAGGCGCCGCTTCTGGCGCTGCCCTCTGAGAACCTCCAGTCCTACCAGGCCATGCACGGTCTGCGCGGCACTGCTGACTGGACCCAGAAGAGTTTGCGTGCGGATGAGTCCGGCATTCCCGCTAAGCAGAAGATAGCGCTTCTGACTGCAGCCCACGAGGAGCTGTCCCATATGGGCGGGCGCGATGCCATTGTGAAGGCATTGGCCGCAGAGGGCAAGGTTTGGACAAACCCAATGGGTTGTGAAGAGGTGTGAGGAGTGCCGAACGAACACCATGCGGGACTTGCGCAGAGCCGAGCCCCGACATTTGCCCACGCCAGGGCATGCAGGAGAAGTCATTGGCTTTGACCTCAAGACAGTCAAGCCCCACAACGCCAACAAGTGGCTTATGCTGTTGGCCGTCGACTTCTGCAGCAAGAAATGCTGGGCTTGGGACTTGGACTATGGCCAGGGTGACTTGCCGACCGTCCAAGGAGTGATGCTTCGGTTCTTTGCTGAGCACGAGCTGCCCCTAGTTGTGTGGACTGACAACGGCGGTTCTTTCCGCAATGTCATCCAAGTCGCCCTTCAGCAAGCCATAGGCGCTCGGCCTCGCCACATCCCGCCGGGCAGGCCTCAGGCAAATGGCTTGGTCGAGGTGTACAACCGCATCCTGGATTCTGCCCATGCCGGCGAGCGGGCGCGCCTGCTGTCAGCGGTTGTGGCCTACAACCACATGCCGCAAGCGCGGTTGAAACACTGGCGGGTCTTGCGCCCTGCAGAATCCCGGCGGAGGAATCTGCAGCTTCAAGCTCTTGTTCACGGCCCAGCGCGTGGGATGACTGATGCCGAATGGCTGGGCTACTTGGACCAGGCGGACAAGTTGGACACTGACTTCTTTGTGAAGGCCGCGGACGGTTTCCACGAGAAGCTCGAGCCAGTGCGCGAGGCCATGGCCAGCAAGCACCTGCGCCAGGCCATGCAGAAGAACTTGCGCTATGACTCTAAGCGCAAGCAGGCTTGTGAAGCGCCAGTGCTTTCTGGGGACAGGGTCATCGTCAAGAACTCGCAGTACACTTCGAAAACTGGTCACGGCAAGTTCGAGACCAAGGATGGCAAGGTCCGGGAGCACACGGTGCAGTCGGTCTCGCAAGGCTTTGTGGAACTCACGGAGGTCGGCTCTGGCGCAAGCGTGTACAAGCACGAAGCCAGCCTCAAACTGATGCCGCATAAGCTGCCTGCGGATGACGGTCACGTGCCCTCACCGCCACCCAAGGTGGTCCAGGAAGCAGGCTTCAAGGAGTGTGGGCCCTTCTACAAGATTGCGGCGCTTGCTGACGGTGCCTGTCTCTACAGGTGCTTCCACATGGCCACGCAGTACTTGGCAGGCATCGCGCCGCAGGCGCTGGCGCGCAAGCAGTTCGTTGCCAGCTGATGACCCGTGGCTGCGGCACTTGGCTGCTGAGGCGAAGAAGGAGACGGTGTGGAAGCTGGCATCCGAGATGGCCGATGACCCGCTGTGGGCTGGCAGCGCTGCTGGAGACTGGGACTGGGACCGGTATTTTGCCTCGCCAACATCGGGGCATTCGTCTGCAGGGGCTAACAGTGGAGATCTACCAGGAGGAGGCGGACGGCCTCGAGCTGATTTGGAGATGGTGGAGCTATGAGGGGGGGGCCGGTGCGCTTGCTGCGTAGTGGTACTCATTTTGATCTTCTGGTGCCGCGGCCCATGAGGCATCGCTTGTGGGGCAAGGGCCCGGCATCCAAGCGCGCGCGATGTAATTAGGAATTGTTTTTGCATGACTGCCTTGAAGACAATTCGTAATTGAGTCCAAATGAGGCCGCTGCAGGGGGGGAAGGCATGGGGGGGGGGTTACCGAACCGCAGACCGGGATCATATATATGAAATTATGACAATTATGATTATATACTTTTTGTATGTTAAATCGGGATTACGAATTATTATGTAATGTGATAATTATTATTATGTATTCGTAGTTGATAATTATTATGATTCCATTATTATTGTTGTTAGTATTAGTGATATTTATGATGATAATTATTATTATTTGTTTTTGTATTTTATGTTTGGTTTAATAATATATTTTATATATATAATAAAGACAGGTGTTATGGTAATTATAATTATTTGGATGATATATATTATTATTCGATAATAATAATTATATATTTATAGGATTGGGATGATGGTGATTATAATGATAATATTGTTAAATTATGGTTATTTAATTTTTATTAAAGAGGAAATGATTTTATATATATATTAAGTATTATTAAACCCAATTTTTAAAATACAAATAATATATGATTATAATTATTATTTTTAACGAATTATAATAATAATTAATATTAAAATACTATTATAATAATTGTTATTAAAATATTAAAAACACATTATAATAATTATTATTAAAATTATTTTATTATTATATTACCCGATTTAATATATAAAAATATTAAAATAATACATATTGTAATTATTTACAATATTACAAATGTATAATAATAATCACGATAATTATAAATTATTAATTTTAGATAATAATTCGTAATATCCGAATTATTATTATTATAAATATCCGATTAAAAAACGAAATATACATAAACATGATTATTATAATATATGCTACGAATGTTAAGAATACATAATAATTATTAATCATTTAATATTTATTATTATATCTTTTGAATATGTTAATAATATTTAATATATATATATATTAATAAGTATTATTAAAATAAATAATGATATTTGTTATAATTTATATTTAAAAACTATATATATATATTATAATTACAACATATATAAATTGATGAACACAACATATTATTTACTTGATAGGAAATGGTTATTAAATTGTATGCTAAAATCCATATTTACGATATTTTTACATTGTGCTTGTATTTAATCTCCTATCCAAATAGTTCTTTAATTAGATCCTACGAAGTATCCCGTTAGAATAGTTCGTCGATCACGCTACGCCGAACATCTCGCTAGAATAGCTCGTAAATGGATTCCGTCGAATGTCCCGGCAGAGTTGCTCATTAATGGATCTATCTAATATCCTATTAGAATTGCTCGCCAATGGATCCTGTCGAGTATTCCGCCAAACTACTCGTTAATAGATCCTACCGAATATCCCGTTCGCTAGACTCCGCCGAGTATTCTGCTACGCAGAGCAGCTGACCAGTAGATCCCGTTTAATATCCCGCTAGAGTTATTCGTTAGTGGATTCCGCCTATCTTGCTAGTACCATCAGAGTAATTAGTTAATGGATGCCGCTGAATATCTTGTTGAATATCCTAGAATAGCTCATTAATGGATGCCGCCGAGTATCCCGTTAGAGTAATTACGGATTCCGCCGAGTATTCCGTTAGAGCAGATCACTAGTGGCTGCCGCCGAATATTCCGCTGAGTATATCCTAGAATAGTTCGATAATAGATCCCATTGAGTATTTTATTGAATATCTTTTGCCGGTGGATCCTGCAGAGTATCCGGTTAGTATTGAATCGGAACGGCTCGCTAATATTCGTTAATGGATGTCGTTAGTATTCCGGTAGAGCAGCTCGTTAGTCTAGCTTTGCTTAATATTTCGCTTGGCGTATAGTTGGGTTTATAATTCATATTGTTTTTTGTGTGTTTTGAATATATCCTGAGATTCGGAAAGGGTGATGTTTTGTGTTGCTTTGGGTTTTGAATAAGTAATTCGGTTTAATATTTTGTTGGTTTTTTTGTGTATAGGGTTTGGCTTTTGTTAGTGGAATCGATATTTGAATTTTTAAGATCGACTTACGCATAAGTGGAATTTGCGAAACGCGTGAAAAAACGAATTGCGTGATCCGAAATTCGTTTTTTTTAGCGCGTTTCGGATTTCGAAAAGCGTTCTGGCATCATTTTCGGGGCTCCTTCTAATTCCCGCGGCAGAGTTTGTAGAAACGCGCAAACGCGATTTTTTTTTGTTTAATGCATTTCGGACCTCGAAAAGCGCTCTAGTATCATATTCGGCGCTCCTTTTGATTTCTGCGGCAGAGTTTGTAGAAACGCGCGAAAAAACAAATTTCGCGGTCCGAAATTTGTTTTTTCGCGCGCCTCCCCAGATTTCCCAGATTTGACCCGAATCCATACTAAGTAAGCCTTATTAAACCTTATTAAGCCTTATTAAGCCTTATTCAGCCTTAATAAGGCTTAGTAAGGCTTAATAACGCTTAATAGTTTGTTATTTAGATGAGAATGCTCAAAACGGATATGTTCTTTTATTTTCAACAAATCCTTCAAAGCCGCCATCTCGAAAGATATCCAGCCTAGAACACATACCCCAGGATTCTAGTTAAAGTACCATACTTCGAAAAGGGACCAAAACATCGTTTCTTTTTGAGAAGTAAGAGGGGGGAGGCGGGGTAAGAGGGGGTGGGGAAGGGAAGGGAGGGAAGGGAGGGGAGGGAGGGGAAGGGGGAGGAAGGGAGAGGAAGGGGGAAGGGGGAAGGGGGGGGCCAAAAGCGTGTCGCTGTGCAGGTTTTGGGGGGGGGGGGCCTCCTCACCACATTAAGCCTTATTAAGGCTGATTAAACCTTATTAAGCCCTATTAAGCCTTATTAAGCCTTATTAAGGCTTACTAAGCTTTAATAGGCCCTACTAGCAAATAGTCGCATTTTCCTATATTTTGAAATTCTTGCTTGATTTGCGAGACTGGGCTGCCCTTAACATATTACACCGGTGATCTTGGGAATCGCAGCAGGTTTGGCTTCTCGCTCCTGATTTGCGGGCACTTGGCGGAGTTGAGCAATTGCAGCTAGATTCGAGCAAAGCACCCGCAACAACGATCACACATCATGAAAAGCTCAGAAAACCTTGAACCAACATTAAACATGCAAGAAAACCAAATCTAGGGAGGCCCTCCCTCGGGAGGCCTTTCGGGGACACTGAGAAAAGCGCTCTGGCATCATATTCAGAGTTTGTTGAAATGCGTGAAAAAAAAGGACCTCGAAGAGCGTTGTAGTATCATTTTGAGCGTTCTTTTTGATTCCCGTGATAGAGTTTGTAAAAAATAGATATATGGATATAGTCCTAAGCCATTCGAAAACCATGCTTGAATTCACACAATCGTGTTTACGGTTATAAATTTGTGAGTGTGGAGGGTGGGGATTGCGCGAAGCGAAATAATTATGAAATTATAAGAATAATAGTACAAAATGATTGAATATTTATTAAAATATGTAACATGAATTATAAAATGTATTTGTTATATTTGATATATTGTTTTTATATAGTAGGATTATAGTATTGGTTTTATGTTGGTTTAGATTTATTCGAAAATTAGAATTATAAAAATGATTTTGTATATTAGGAATATTTTGTAAAATTGTTGGATTGAGTTTGAAAAATGTAGTTTATATATTTAAAAGATATAATTAAATAATGATATTTGAATTACACATATTGATGCATACATATATATACATATTGGATATTAGAATTCTTAAATTGGGGTTGTAGGAATATATTTGATATTTGATATTTTGATTATTGATTTATTTTTTTCGATTCGATATATAAAAATAATTTTGGTTATTGGTTATATATATATTTTGCTAAATTTGTATTTTATATTATATATTTATGGTTCTCGAATAGATATTATAATATATATTAAGATACCAAATTACAAATATTGAATTATAATTTTAAAAAATGATTTTAAATTTGGAACTATGGAAATGAATTATATATAAATTAAATATATATTATTTAAATTATATAAATTTGATTTTGTAGATATAATAATATATATATATTAAATTTATAATTGAAAAAATAAATATGATTTTCGAATTAGAATTATAGATATATATATATATTACTAAACTATGAAAATGAATTTTGGATATATTATTGTTTTAAGCGATATAAATTTCACATATTAATTTTGTACGATTTGTGGAGTTATGGACGGCACCAAATAACATGGTTTTCATTAATATTGATTCCATTGGTGCGATTGAAGACATAAATCGTGATTGTTGGGGACTGTTTTTATGTATGGTTGTTGAGCGTATTAAGGTCTATTGGCCGGAAAACAAATATTATTTGAGGTATTTTTATTCTTCGCCTTGTGTTTTGTTTTACTTGTTTCATTTGCACTCTTATGCTATTCAAACAATCGACGGAACAATTAATAATATTGCTAATCATAACCCGATTTGGGAAGTTAAGATTTTCATGCATCTTGTTCAGACGATACGGAAATTTGTTTATTCTTGGTGGTGGATTTGTTGCAGCCTTCACGGGCCAAGTTTGGTTTTGTAGCATATAACCGATTATGGTGGGATTGTTTTGGGATATATAGGTCGTTGGGAATAGTTTATTTTCTTTTATGGTAATGTAATGTCGTCTAGTATTTTGTTGTGTTGGGGGATGATTTATTCGGTTTTGGAAATTTGTGTTTGGGTCTTTGGGTTTACATGGATTTATTTCTAGTCTATATTCTCGTAAATCGACCTCGATCCGAGCCCGATGAATATAGAAGTGGATGGCATATGCACTGATCCCTTTATTAAAGAGGATTTAAGATGTTTGTTCGGGATTAATTTGAATTCGGAGGTTTTTCTCGCTATTGAATCCCATACAGGAAATTGTCCTGTGATTAGTTGTATTCGCCACAGATTGGGTGGCCGA